GGAATTAATTAATTAGTTTATACAATCTTGAACTAGCTTTTTAAGAGGGCAGAGGCATATGACTATTTATTTCTATTCATTCTTTCTGATGGAAAATGTAGCTCTTCGAAAAAATACGTTTGTATTGACAGACCGGTCTGTCATAAAAAATGGGAGAGCAACAGTTCTGCAGCTATAATGGAATATAAAATAACTGTGAATGCAATAATAGAAATATTTTATTTTAATCTTCTTTCTTTAACAATTAAATTTATTATCAAGTAGACTTCAAATGAATTTGTTTATTATCCTGTCATCTTTCGTTTATGGTCTTTATCAGGAAGAAATATATAATTGTTAGAATTCGTAATTGCTGTCTTGCTGTTTTATAGTACCCCACAAGGTATTTTTTATCACCATGCTGGTTGCATATGTTAATCCGTGAACTGTCGATTTCACAAATTGACAACACAATATCTCCTATTGTCTTTAGATAAAAAATGTCAACTTGTACAAAGATGTGTTCAGCCAGATTATTATATGAATTTTTTCCACTTTTTATTACACTGAATAAAAATCTTATTTACATGTTCTTTAATACTTCCTGGCAAAATTTTTAGGCAAGATGACTAATCCTACATGTATGCATTGTCACAGTCAAGTAAGTTTTAACTAATTTTTTAGACTTCATTTTTTTCAAATTACAAATGTTTTCTTTGTGCAACAGTAGAAGCCCCCCCCCTCCCCGCAACACTAACACGTTTATTCTTAGAACACAAAATCAATGTACTGAAGCATGGAATTTTGGTTAAAATGTCCCTATTGTTACAAACATTTTTCTGCATTTTTTTTTCTCTTGATATGAATGTGCATACATGTAAAAGACTTCTCATGAATGACTCATTGATAATAAAACGGAAGTACTGAACCGTCGAAAGATCATTCTTGCTAACACGAGAGTCATATGTCTTTGCCCTTTCAAAAACTAAAGCTAGCTCAATTTTGTGTAATAGACTAAAAGTTGGAATATTTTTGAATGCACTTAAAATTTACGATCTCTGGTATAACAGTGAAAACTGAACGCCACGGACAAAATGCGTATAAAAATGAGATGATTTTTCTTTTAAGTTAAATCCAAGAATATGTAAACTATAAGGGACAGTAGATTATGTGACATCTACTGAGATCATCAAGATAATTCCTGAACAACATTTTATGCAGTCCTAATAATGTATTCTCTATTTCGTAAAATATTGTGGTAAACACAGCAGATTACATGTACATTATATTAAAAGGGGGAGGGGTATTTAACTAATTTTTATTACAGGGATTGATACATTTAAAGATCGTTTTAAAATGGCGTAATAGACTAGTATTTTAAACATCTTAAAAATTGCAAGCCATTTCCGGCGATGTTGTGGAGGTGTCTATTGCCACACTGAGTAATTATAAGTTCCTTTTTGAAATCTTATAATTCATTTTTAAGAGATATTTTTTCCGTTGTTTCATGTACATTCCCAGTCTATTTATTCATGTGATTTGGCTACTTAGTACATATTGTACACCCTGTAAATATTGCATTTTAGGTTTTTTCATTTGGATAGCATTTTTACGTCATTGTTTTCTTCGCGTTCTTCTTGTTTATTGATTTATAAATGTTCAATTATTCAAAATAAATATTGGTAAATACTGAAATACTTTTACTTGTGTATCCGGTTTCATAATATATATTTTGAAGTATACTTTGTTTTCTAAAATTATTCATATTTTTAGCTGCATGCAGAACTGTAGCTCTTCAAAAAGAAAATGTATTGAAGTGACATTATATAATTTAAAACTTTTTTTTTCATTCCTACGTATTTGTTTCGCCAAACATATGAAATCAATTAATAAAAGTTAATTTTTTATGTATTATTTCTAAGTTTCGGGTTTGATCATCATCTAAATATTCAGTTTATGGTCAAAATTTCATCATCGGCTAGGGTAAAAATTGATTATTTTAACAAATTTATTAATTCTAATTGAGTTTAAATTTTTCTTAACGAGGAGGCCTCTACGTGGCAAGGCTGGACAACGGTATAAATTTATTGTTATTAATATTAAATACTTAAATTTTCTCCTGTAAATAATATCCAGACACAATTTCTTTTGTTCGATTTTTATTGGTCATTAATTGATAAAATTAATTTATTTCACAAGATAAAAGTTAATAACACAGGAAAGGAATTGTTGATATTTATATAAGACCAGATTAAAAAATGGGGTGAAATGACCCAGGTAGGAGAGAGAAATGACCTACCGTGAAATGACCTACCATGAAATGGTAGGAGAGAGAAATAACCTAGGAGAGAAAAAGATTTAGAGAGAAATGACCTGACACCTAAAAATCGCCTCTATTAAATTACCTTATCATATTATAAAGTCAATAAATTCCGATATTGTGTTTTCTAAAAATAAATTACCTTATCATATTATAAAGTCAATAAATTCCGATATTGTCAAAGTAAATAAGTTTCGAATTTCTAATATAAAAAAGAAATTGATAATAATTAAGAATTATACGTACGCTTTGTAAATTGAAAACAAAAATCCAAAAGGCGTTGATTTATAAAAATACATGTATGTTCATTGCTTAGTTTTAGACCTGGTTTAATAAAGTCTTCATGGCGATAACAGGAATGCCTTATGCACTGGTAAAGATTCAGCGTTCGTATGTCTATATGTTACTTAGATTTTTTTAAAAAAAAATTACATCTCGCATAGTTTTTTTAATACATAGACTTATTCATGAACACTAAAACTCTGATCGATTCTCCTTTTCAAATCGTCACCCTTTTAATAATCAAAACGGATTTACTATAATTAAAATGATATTTTCTTTACAATCCCAAAGTAAACTGTACTCGTATCATTATCAGTGATATTTTTAAAATCAGGAAAATGTATCTTTTTTTCTTGAGAATTGATATCTCATGCAGAATAAGACCTCCTCGCTGGACTGAAAGTTAACTGATGAGTATTAATATGAATGGTGGACAATTTTTTTTTTATGGAAAAATTTTATGCATAATTTAGGTGAAAAATGGTCAAAATTAATTTTTAAGTAATTGTTAATTAATTCAATGAAGCCAAATTGGTTGATTTTAACAGCATTACATTTTCGCAAATGTCAGGGTTTTTTTAAAAAAATTCACATCAATGAAATAACACTATTTAATGATGCGATTGGATGACGTTTAATGTCTGTTGACTTTATTCCATAATTTCTACATTAGCCCTTTTTTGTAACCATAAGAAAAGAAAACATTTTGTGACCTAACCTTATATTGCCCGAACCCACATAAAATGGGGGTACTCCTAAATCAGTATGACAAATCTACACTCAATCTTTTTCAAAAAGCTTTCATTTAAATCACAAGATCGTTAAATGACTCCATCCTATTTTTATTTTTATCTCCCTTGGGAAAGAGGTATATGTATTTTCAGCAAACTTGAATCCCTCTAACTCAGAAATGCCCGTGCTTTGTGCCAAATTTGATTAAATTAGGCCCAGTGGTTCTGAGGTATAAGATTAAATAGGAGTAGGATACAGAGGCATCGCCAAAAGACACCTATTACATTCGATTTTTTTTTTCAATTTACTGCCAACCGGTAAAAAAAATATTAATATGAAGCAGGAAAAAAATTCATTAAGCAAAAGTTTGAGATAAAATGTAAACGATTCAAAGAATTGTATTGAAATGCTTTTGATACTGTACCAGTAACTGTCCCTTGGTCTGCATTTCATTTTGAAAGTAAAATTATGAACTCCTTTGCAATTGTGAAACTTTCTAATTGGCGATCGTCAACGTCATTTGTTTTTTGAATATCCCATGAGGATTATACACACGATTAATTGAAATGTATAATCTTTAAAAGGTCGAGTGAAAAACTCATTATAGATTCATAACAGACGAAATAGTATTCGAAATGCGGCACTAATTAGAAATGCAACACCATAGAAATGCAACACCCTTGAACCTAAAACTTGTTGTTCGTCTAGTAAACAAAGAGATATATATCCTTTTTAAAATCCCTTTATTCCCAAGTTGATATCTTTGCAGAATTCCTCCAAAAAGGGCATAAATCGTAAAGAGTTAAATTTCTTGCGTAGTAACATCAATCAAGGACCGAGAAATACTGATTCTGTTTTAAGATGTAGGCTGAAGTCGAGATTTTGTACTCTCGTGACTCTCTCGGCGCCTAGCAATTTTGTTTTAATTGAATAGGGAGAATTTTACTCAAATTGATTATATTCAAGAAGTTCATTTACAGACGAAAATTTAATGGACAGTGAATAAAAAAAAATGAGACTCTTTACTGGTGAATTGGCATGGTGGTAATTTCGTTGCTTAACAAAAATGAGATTACTAACAAAGAAAACGCTTATTGCATGTCTATGGTGGGGCAAAATGGATATATCTAAAATAAACTTATTCAAGATAGCTAGCTTAAAAACTGTCATCCAAATTGTCAGTATATATATATATACAATTTGAAGTACATTGCACTAGGTAAAATTTGTTTTAAATAAGACACCAACAAAGAAGTCAGAGAAAACAGTTATATTTATGTCAGTTAAGCCTTTTGGCTTGGTAAAACTTAATGCACATATTAAATCTTTACCTAGGATTCACTTATTTTTTAATATTTGTTAAATGTCTTAAATTAGATCAGACCAAAAGAAGCACATCTTTTTTAGTTTGATATAAGTGTACTCTACACCTCCGCTTTCAATTTCCCTTTAGTTGTAAAATCACTGCATGCCCTACAAAGTAAACTGCTGCACACGTGCTAAATATATCATGTTCAAATCCGTGTTATGAAAGATCCGACTTTTGAAGTGCACTTCAGATATATGTATAGGCAATTATTAGTTTCTTAGTGCATATTCTACTTTTGTAGCGGATTTCACGTTTGGATTCTTGGAGAATCTATCCTTACTATATCTACATCAATGATATTAAACAGCTAGCACTATGTTCATGTTTGTTTTCAACATTTATTTGTCACAACAAAGCTTTCAAATAATTTTAAAATCCCAGAAAACAGTGCTCCTGTGCCACAATGCTCATTTGAGTCAAAAGCTTCTGCAGCATGGACGTGATGAATTAATAAGGGAACATGTTTGCCAGATACTCTCAAATGAGTCCCTGCTTGGTTTATAGGTGTATTTGGATCAATTGACTGTGTGATCATTCAAAATCATCAAAGTTTCTTTTTCTATGTCACATTGGATTAGCTGATATCCTGTGAGCTCCATAGATATAAAAAAAAATGGCAGTCACATTAAGGAACTGTGTCGTTCCGTGACTTGAATAGACATATTCTTTGTAGTCAGGAAATTGAAAATATCAGTTCAACACCTAATGTAGACATAATATAACGAACATGGTTTGATCAGAAAAGCCCATTTGATCATATAGTTCAGATGAGCTTAAAACATTAAATTTTATACAATGTTCCCTGTATTTTTAAAAATAAAATATTCAGTTCATGATATGCAGTGTTTGTATATATGTTTTCACATTATTAATTTAACAAAGTGAGGCGTTTTAATGGAGAACTGTGCTCCGTATCATTCTTAAACGTCTCATTATTAAATACGTCCTTAACACTGCTGGAGTTAGATCGAATGTCAAATACTCCTGTACCCAATATAATATCAGGTCCAGTCTTAGAACTTTCTTCCATATGTCCATTTGATATACATATACAATCGGTGTTCCTTGAGAACTTCACTCGAGACTCCTTGCCCGGGGTTCTTATTTTATCCAGCTTCGCCATATCTTCGTTTTCACTGTTGCTACTTTGGCCTTCTTTATATCTTGTGTTTGTTGTCCCTCGGCTGTTATCGGAACTACTATTATGAAGAGGTTCATCCTCTGCTTCGTTAAAACTTCTCGTCGCAGAAGTCACATTTGTTGACCTTCGCTGAATGATGCTCCCATTTCTGTATTTCAGAATTTTCTGACGACAGTAAATAAAATTACAAAAAATACGACACAATGTCCGTTTGAAACTCTGTCGGAATTTTTCGCTCATGACGGTGTAAATAAAAGGATTGACACAACTATTAATGAATCCAAACAAGTGTGCACTCAGCATGGTGAAAACGAAATTAGATTCTTGGAGGAAGTTTTCCGGCTGCAGAACGGAGACAATGCTGACTATGTACATCGGGGACCATGCAACGAAGAAAGCGATCGCAACAACTATAACCATGCGGGCAACCTGAAAAAAAGCACCAATATAGTTCAAGTTAATAGTGACTAAACAATAAACTTAATTTAATTAATATGATCGGGTCCGGGATCCCCTCTTTCCATTAACTATGTCTATGTCACCATGTTGTCCCTTCCGGTTACTACATAGGGCCTATCTGTCTTTAATGCTCATTGATTAAACCCTACACGTACCTAGGAGTTTGTATCACTTATGTTGAGACATGTGATTAAAGACTTCAGTTACACACTTGTTTGTGTCACTTACATGTGACTGAATCCTACATTCACCTTCAACTTTGTGTCAGCAATGACGATAAATATGATTAAATTCTACATTTAATTTTAAGTTTGTGACATACTAGGTCATTCTATATAGAGACATATACGTTTGTTTTCTTTACATTTTCCCTCGTTGGAAACCCACGGGTGATCTCGTCTATACTTATCAAGTAAAGACGAGATCACCCGTGGGTTTCCGACGACGAACATTTTCATGGTCAAGGACTAGCTGATGTCAGAGTCCAAAAAATCATACAATTAACTCTAATTAACTTCACTCATAAATTTTCATGCATTGCCAGAATGTGCTTTTTATCAATATGTCATTTTTTTTTTTTATCATGCATGCATGTTTTACTGTGTTAGTTTATTGCGTGGATCCTGGGGTCCACGCAAAAATACATAAGCGAGGTATTTTAAATTGGATGCTGGTGAGGAAAAATAGTTGCGCAGGCAGGTTACCCTTAGATAACTCGTTTTAATTCGATAGAGAAAACGATGGTAATTTATCTTTAAAATATTTTTATCCCCAAAGTTCTTCAGTCGGATAAAAGCGATCTCAAGGCCTGTGGCAAAACAATGTTTTAATCTCTTGCCATATAACACCGTCTTCAAGAGATTTTCATTGAAGGATTTATGTCTTTTTCAAAAAAAAATTGGAAATAGCATTATGTCAGCTGCTGATCAGAAAATGGACTCGGAATCCCATTAAAGATGTCAGTGTCAATTTACTTAGGAATGGTGACAAGTAACAAAAAAATGTTGCCGTAAACAGTAGAGGAGGTGGTAAGACTGATCGGAAAATCAATCAGTTGTTGATTTCTTGTGACAAGAATTCTGGGGAATACATCTGTCATCTAGTCTGCCTTCTCTCACTTAGACATTACTAAGAAGACATTAAGGCATCAATATTTTAAACTAGCCTTTTTTAATTATTTGATCATATACAAAAGCACAAAAGCCATACAGATAGCCATGACAAAAAAATTCTCAAAAGTACGAATTTTGGAATAGTAAGAGAACTTTAATAAGCTCATTCTTGGAATGAATTGAATTTGCAGAATTCTAATATTCTAATGAGAATGATGACCACTTTGTGTACAGAGAGAAGATGACAGAACCATTTTCTTAAAATTATAATTCTTGTAAATGCAATACCAGTAGCTCAGTTTAATTTGAAATCTTAAATGCTACTGTTTTCATTTTAATTTTTGTGTATACGCGACAAGAAAAAAAGTCTTACCTTTCTTTTATTTACTTCGTGGCGCCGTCTAGCGGCGGGATCCTGTTTGCAGGGTGCTGAATTTCCTACGACAAACGGCCTGGTCAGACATATAGCGATTTTTGTGCATGTCACAACAATAATGGTCAGTGGGTTAAAATACATTACGACGAACAAAATGACAAAAAAGATTCTTCTGAAGTTCCCTGTCTGTCCATCCAGTTCGTCAAAGCGATCTGTGCATGTTTCTCTGGAAATTGATCCCAGTTCGCTGATTATTGTGAAAGGGTCTGACCGACTGAAACAATAGGGTGTGGCCAAAATAGCTGGAATGATCCAAGTAGCTGCAATTATTCTTTTGGTCCGTGACTTGCTGTTTACTTTCATAGCTGATAAAGGATGGACGATGGCATAGTACCTGAAGAAAAATGCATTATAAGAATCACATAACTGTACATAATGTTCTGAAGAATTTCACTTATATTTTTAAGATAGATTCTCTATTTGAATTCACCACTTATTGAATCCTTTGCTATGTAGAGTAGGGATAATGGGTACGTCTATTAGATTGGGGAGAGGTAAGATCGATTTGTTAGTAAGTGCTAGGAGACATCAAGACAGGTAGGGACAGGTTTATTTCACAGACAGTATCAATCATTTAAACATCTAAATTAAGAAACTATTTAAACTTTTTGACATCCATTGAACAACAAATTGAAATTTATATTTTACTTAAAGATGCACAAGAGACATTAGTAAATACTTTTAAAATTACTGGCGTATAAAATATCAAAACTTGAAGCAAGAATGATTTTGTCGTGCATTAGCCGTTCTGAAAGTCTTTCAGTTTTTAAAACCAGGTGTTGACACTTCATGCTGTGCATACGGGAATAACATACGGAGATAGCTTTGGGGATAGCTGGTTATAGTGTGTATAGCGACGGAAACAGTGTGGCAGTAAAGCCAAACAGGGAACCAGTTTACGACAAGAAGTACGTACTCCCCATGTAGTCTTCCGCCAAAGTCTACTCTCCTTAATCAAATTGTTGCGCGTTAAAAACATGTCCAATTTCCCTCATAATTTCACTTCACTGAACGCAAAAAAGACTATGATTGAGAGTTACATGTGCCATTGCTTATATTATGTCCCGACAAATGCAAGTTCAAACACCTGTAACGATTGACGATTGTGATTATGCTTATCACGCTAGTATTCTTCTTTGAAAACTGGAAAAAAAAAATCATGAAACCTTACACGGGATTGTATAATTTATTGTTGATGTTGAGGAAAAAATGTTAATTCAGTGTGCTTGATTTTTGTTACTTACGGTCGAACCTTTTTTAAAAGCATAAAGAATTTCCTCACTTATTTGGCACAGATCAATAGGTGCACAATCCAATGAAAGTACTTCCAGTGTAAATCGGGAGTCCGCGTGATCAAAGTTTTTTTTTCCTCCGAATTATTAAATGTGCAGCTATAATATGATTTGTTTTGTTATCTTTTTTTGCGTTATATTACAACGCTAATTTGTAAATGTGATATACGGTTTTTCACATCTTTTTGATTTTCGATTTCAACCAAAAGTGACGTCTTGGCAGCCGAACATATCCCTACCGAAACTGGAAATAGTTAAAAAATGAATCTTTTTTGTAGTTTTTTTTAGGAACTATCTTATTCAAGTTATTGTATTCTTATTCTTTAAAAAAATAGTAATCAAACTACTTTTGCCGCCTGTCGTCTATCTGAAGACCTGTTCGTTGCTTTGCAGCGAGATTTACTCTAGTTATCATCATTAGATTATAAAGAGAGCAGAAAATATCCACCTTCTTTAATTTTAATTCGCCTCTATTATTCGAGTGACTGTCGGCGTGAGTTTTAAAGGTTTCAATATTCAATAAATACATGATGAATAAGACTTGTACCATGCATACAATTGACAATCATTACTTTCATTGATAAACGTTTGTTTTATGTCCCCTCAAGATTCATTTAAAAAAACATCACTGGGGAGAACTTCAACATATAATAGAAATTAAAGGGAGGGGCAGATGACATCAGCACATCTGTTTCATATTTGGATAATTGTTAATGGTAATTTAACAACAAAGATTTATGATAAACGCGATGATTTAAACTTTTCAATCGTCAACTTTCCTTACTTATGCAGCAATATACCTTCATCAACTGCATACGGAGTTTATGTATCTCAGATGATTCGATACGCAAGAGAATGCTCTACGTATGAACAATTTCTAAAACGAGGTAAATTATTGACATACAAGTTGATGAAACAAGAATATCAGCTGTCTCGTTTAAAGTCATCTTTTCGTAAGTTCTATGGTCGATTCGAAACGAAGAGCATGTTCTATGCATGAACAATTAATTTCAAAGTCATCATAACGCAAGTTCTATGAATGATACTATTACCTTGTCAGCCAATACAATCTATCATTATTTAAATCATATGCTGACTGACGTTTTTCTTACTCCATGTAAGACATTATTTACAAACTATCGAAGAATTTTTTTCCCGTTTTTCACGATCATGACAAGGAGAACACGGTGGGGTGTGACGGCAGGCAGGGGATGCTCACTCCTCCATGGCACCTGATCCCACCTTTGATGTTAAGAAGTACGTGTTTGCTTTGCTCCAAAATTTGTATTTTTTAATGGATTTTTAGCTTGAATACTGTTCGTTATTTCCAAATATTTCATCAGAACCCCCCCTGTTTCTCTTTTTTATAATTAATTTAATTTCAGTGTTTAAATCATCGAAGATTATAAATTATATAAATTTTTTGAAGTTTTTTTTTTATAGCGATGTTATGATTACATATATTAAACATTATGTTAGACCAAGAGTAACTGAAATTTTTTCTGCACAATTTGTTCACTATTTCAATAAACAAACTCGACTTTTCTCTAAGAGTGCTTCATTGCTTTAGGAGGGTTTTCCTTAGTAAAAAGGCACGCATCTTATGCTTGAAATGAAGTTCATATTTATTTCTAATGTGGTGGACCTTTACAATATGTTAAAATAAGACCACAAACATTTTTTATTGGTGTAGATAGAGAATCCTCAAGTTTTTATTTAAAGTAAAGTTTCTAACATTCGATAAATTGAATAATAAATATATTTGCCAGTTCTTTTTATTAACTTAAGTATCTGTTGAAACAAAATAAGGATTCTTAAAGTGCATTTTGTTTCATAAAATGAGATATATTTTTTTTTAAATTTAGATGATGTACATTTATGTACTGTACAAAGTATGAACAACTCATCGGCAGTTCAATCAGGTAATTTGGTGCTCTGTTTCAGCTAGTGCCAAATTGCCAAATTATGAAATGGTTGCAGAAAGATTAATGAATAACGTCTAAACTAAACCAGTGAGAAACAGTTTAAAGTCCGTTAAGAACGGTATTTATTAAATGTATAACCAGTCTTTGATCACAAATCTCTTGGAAGCTATGATTAGATAATCACCAACATAACCATTTTGTTCTTAACTTAAAGTACACTATTAAGCATATACTATAATTGCTCAGTTTAGTACTTCAGGAACAAAATATCACTTAAAATAAAAATGTGTTATAAAGCTAGGAGTAGATTCTTACGAATTCGTGAACATAGGAATCATTTATTTTTCTTAAAAAAAATACTCAGAACGTTGATAGAATTGTCCATATAAATTTACGTCAATCAGTTCTTCATAATTTTGTCTATTACTACAATGTATCTGATATTGGTACATGTACGCAATACGTATAGAAAGTATCGTTTTTTCGTTTTTGTTATTTCTAGCATTGCAAAAACAATGTAGCAATTATCTCGGTAAGATTACGGATTTGGTTTTTGGTTTAACCATGTTTATACAAGATACAATAAACATATTCTGTAAAACACACTGTGTATTAATTTTCTTTTCCCCAAGACAATGATGCATAGTTAATTTGCTTCCGAACAGATACATTTTTATTCAATATTGACTGATAGACAAGGAATCTAATAGGAAATATCTATTCTTTTTCGGGGTTTTAAGGTGAAACATATGGAGATAACGAACAGAATTCAAGATCAAAGTCCATAAAACAATACAAAATAGGAGCAGAGCAAACACGGACCTCCAAAGCTTCGGAGGTGAGATCAGGTGTCATGGGGGAGTGAGCATCCCCTGCTGACCGGTCACAACCGCAGTGTGCTCCTTGTCATGATTGGGTATATAACGGAAAAAATCCGTCGTCAATTCTGTGTATAAATAATGGACCAACATTTAGTATGAAAAAACGTCAGTCAGCATTTCACTCTTGTATTTCCTGCAAAGGTCATTGTATCGACCACAGAAGTTACAAAATGATGACTTTAAACGAAACTGCTGAAATGCTTGTTTCATCAATTTGTTTATCAATAATTTACCTCGTTTTAGAAATTGTTCATACGTAGAGCATGCTCTTGCGTATCGAATCAGCTGAGATATATAAACTCCGTATGCAGGTTATGAAGGTATATTGCTGCATAAGTAAGGAAAGTTGACGATAGAAAAAAACCGGATATACGGTAGGTCTGCGATTAACGGGGGCAATTGGTACCCATGGGAATTCCAAAAGATTATTGGAAGACCTGGTCTCCAAAAACGACATAGATATTTTCAATCAGAAACTCAAGCATCTTTTTGATGTCAATTTTAGAATACTGGTGTGTACAATCAGAATGTTTTTTTTTTTACAGAATAATTTTGTAAATGACCAATGACAAGGTAAGTAAATTTACGAGTTATATTTTAATTGAAAAGGCAGCTGTCAATGATATCAAAAAACCTGGACTTTAATTTATTGTGGGGGGTGGTTGTGTATAAAGTTAAAAAACCGTAAGCTGTTGATTTTTGTGAAATCTTCAAATTGTCCAAACGTTCCTTGGAATTTTTAAGTATCCACATCAAGGTAAAAGATTTTATTTAAAAAGTAAAACATTATATATGTAAGAAAGGCTATCATGAACAGGCACGGACGATTGAATGAATGTTTGATTTATTGTAAGTTTTTTTAAGTCCCATTCGAGAATTTTTCACACATGTAGAATCGTCACCATATACCAGTTAAGGGCTTCAAATCTAGACCTTTATTCAGGGCCATTAAGCAGTGATTTGTACAAAAAAGTAAACATAAATTTGAGAACGAAATAAGTGAAGCTATGAATTACAATTTCTTGCTGTCATTGGGTGCAAGTAAAAGGTGACAAGGCGGAATTATGCAATACGTCAGATCTATTTCTGTATAGACGGCAGGACATTTCATCAATACTGTTGTGAAGTTCGTCATAGCATCGTGTGATAAAGTTATATTACTATATGAATGTCACTCTTTCAATTTAAGTTTTTGGTTTCTAAGATAAAGAAAATATCTTCTGGAAGACTATGTAA